GATGGATTTATAATCTATTGTCCCCACAGGGAAAGTTGTTGGACACAATACACTGAGCAAAGTTGCTACAACAATTACATACAGTACAAATAACCCTGCTTTTCACTTAAAGTGCACTCGCTTTTCTAAAATGTATAACATTTAACATCATTTTACTTCTAAGAAGTTTTTTCTGGGGATTGAGTCTTGCTAGCAAAGAATAAAGCTTAAACTCAGACGAGGCAGCTGTCTGACAAACTCAGAAATCTAACTTTTCTTCATTCTTAACATAAACCTGGGAAGAACCAGCTAACTAGTCAGATGTAAATAATCAAACTGGTTGATTGGTTTGAGTTTTAGATTTTTACATTTTAAGCTTTAGAATAAAAATCAGCCATAAAGATAACTTTATTCAGCTGATTAAAATCTTTGAGCTCCTCATTTTCTCCCTGACAACTGCATGGAAAAGCAATTCGTTTTCCAGATGAAATGTCTGTTTAATCCACCTTTGTGAATCATCCTCTTCACCTATCCGATGTATCTGTGCTTCTATGAAGTTTAGATGGGATTTGAGTCATCAGTAAACTTCTCTATAGGGAGGAATGGAGCCTGATGGAGAGGTTTAGAAAACTGGTATAATCTAAAAGATTCAATCTAACGGGTTGGTTTTAAATTCTCGCATGAAGACAAACAAAAAAGTCACAATATACCAACTTTTACGATAGAAAAAAACTACATTTATTTCATTCCAATACCCAGCTATGTGTTATAAGTGAACAAAGCTGTGATGCAGGCAGGATTAAAGCCTATGTGGAGGTGAGGAAAAACTAAGCAGATATAATAACAGTAAATTAGCTCATAATTCCCCCCCCAAAAAAACAAAACAAGCAGCTTCTATGGAGGCTGGAAGTAAACCCAACATCATTCATCCGATAACTGCACCAGCCTGACAATGTACAGTTTAAAACAGGAGCACCTTGTATCTTATGACTTGTACTGAGTTTATAATTATACCGGTAGTTTCCCTGCATCTTCACCAAGCAGTAATTTGTGTGCAAAAATAAATATCTGACAATGCTTGGGCCACCCTCATCTAGTTGGATTTTTTTCTGGATAATGAATATTCTATTTTTGATGTATGGGGGTGCAAAAAGAATAAAATGAGTTAAGATGCTTTTCTTCAGAATACTTGCCCTGCAGCACAGACATTTTTTTTTATCTTTCAAGCTCTTACAAAAATATCAGTAACTCAGAAGTTATTAAAATTAATTTCATTAAACAACCTTTTGATTAACCGTAAATTTCCTACTGCAGGATAAAACATGATTATTCTGTTCTAGAGCGAGATGTAGTTCAGGGTTTTAACATAGTATAAGTCAGTATATTTTAGCTATGCCTCATTATTCAATATGTTCTTTCTTTCAAAGAAATTACCTCAGTGTGTGGGAATAGGAATATATGTACCAGAGTTCAAAATACACATTTCTAAAAGAATTTCAGATCAACTATCTGTTTTCACAGCAGAGATGGTGGCAGTTATACTGAGTTTCCAATGGGTTGAGGAGGTCAGAGCAGACAGGTTGGTGGTATGCACGGATTCCAAAGCAGTTTTAGAAAGTATTCAGGGAGGAGGAAATAATAGGAAAGATTTAGTATTAGAAATTCAGCTCAGTTTATTTAGATTATACAGGAGTGGCATTGATATTTGGTTTTGTTGGGTACCAGCACATGAAGGGGTAAAAGGAAATGAAAAGGCAGACAAATTAGCAAAAAGGGCTTTAGAGGAGGCAATAACAATTACAATTCCTTTAGGGAAAGGGGAAGGAAAATAATTTATTAAGAGGAAAGAAAGTGAAAAATGGCAAAAAAGGTGGAATGAAGATAAAAAAGGAAGAAGATTATATAAAGTACAAAAGTCAGTATTAAATAGAAATATTAATGAGGGAAACCGGAGGGAAGAAATTATAATGATCAGATTAAGAGTAGGTCATTCTTATTTAAATGTCAATTTATATTTAATAGTGAAAATAATGATAAATGTGAAGGATGTGGAGAGATAGACAATGTAGAAAACGTATTGATGAACTGTAAAACATATGAACCTGAAAGGGAGAAACTGAGAAGAGTAGTTGAAAGGACAGGCCAAGAATGGAGTCTTAAAGGATTATTGGGAAATAAAGGAAATATAAAGGATATTTATAGATTAAGGAAAGCATTATTTATTTATCTTCAGAATACAAAATAAAAAAATTATAATTTAATAGATGTAAAACAATGTTGCTACAAACTCATGAACAGTAGGTGGCGGTATGCACCTTGAAGTTGCTTGCGATCCGCCATGATAGGAAAGAAGAAGAAGAATTACCTCAGTCTGAGCTGTGATGCTCAGCCATGCTGATCTACTACTGGCCAGCAGGGGGCGGAAGGCTGAATTTGAAGCAAAGCAAAACAACGAAGGGTAGGCGCTTCTTTGGTTTAATATCACTAATTTCATCATTTTCACAATAATACTAAAGAGAAATATTTACCTTCTAATGTTTTATTTCTTTAGTCGTTAAAGTTCCGCATGTAATATTATGTAGAAGCGATGTAAACAAAACGAATAAAAGCCGTTTGTTCGCATTCATTTATACTTTAACTTTCCTCTTTTATCAGTAAACTAATACAAAGTTATAAATAAACACGGAGGGTTAAACAACAGTATTTAGTGGCTGATTGAGATTCAAAACAAAAGGAAACAACTTTTCTCATTACTAAGCATTTCCTGTTGGTAAATATTTCACACAAAACACAACAACAGACATTAACTATAGAAAATTAACTGCTAGAAATGATTGAAGAAGAAAAAACACAACAAGGCTTTGTTTTTTTGAATGTATTGTGTTGTTTTTAATGAAAAGGTTAAAAAATAAAGTGGATAAGAAAAGCTGAGGACTGTCAGTAGGACTGTTTACATGTCTGCAGAGTTAAGCTCTCTGTGTTGATCTTTTCCTCATAGAAAGAATCAAATCCTAATAAAACTGTTTATATCTAAAGTTTTTTTTGTGATCTTAACTCCAAAATAAAATAATAAAGGGAAAAAACTCATGAGAATTTTGTTGATTACAGGGGTTGCTTTGAATCTATGTTTTAATAATATAACCTCTTTCTCAATCCAAATGGAAATTGTTTGTATTATATAGATCTTTCATCCCAGCAGCTGTAAGAATTAATAACCATCACTGTTCCCAACAACCTCAATAAGTTGTTACATTCATGGAGTTTTGTTCATAGTCTCTATCTTAGTCAGTTAAATAACATACTGCTGTCATTTAAAAATATCCATTACTGTAAAAATGTCCATAACTGTTTATTGGTTATTTATTCTCCAGGTGAACAGTATTTATATAGTTTAAACACTTTACAGTACATTATTTTATTTTTTATTCTTCACTATTATGTCATTCTTATACATTTTTCAGGTCCACGTTGTGGGACCATTTTTTCCATAATATTTGCTGCTGTAAACACCAGAATTTCCCCATTGTGGGACAATAAAGGGATTTTCTATTCTGTTAAAGATAGGCTCTGTGTTTTCACCTTGACGCTCTATCTCTCCGGTTCTTTTCCCTGAAAAGAGATCACTCGGGACAAGCTCTTTAAATAACACTTCATAACTTATATGTGTTAAATAACCAGGAGACATGACAACAGATTCTGATAGAAATTGTAATCTTACTCAGATCAGAGAAATTGCTTAGAGTTACAGAAGGCAGCTGCTCACCTCTCAGGCAGTGGCCCAGATTAACAGTTAAAAAGGCATTTTATTCATCTCCAGTCTGCTACATCATCACATAATTACATCATACACGTTTGCAGATGAGGAGACATCCATGGCTCCAGCCTTATCAAAATATTACACTTTGTTCTTAGCTGAAGGACACCGCTTTCATTCCATTTCCAAATCTTTGCCACGTACAGAATGAAGATTATAACTGTATATCCCCACAGAGGAACTGTCTTAATTAGATAAACTATTGTGGAAAACATCAGTTCTGACACGCAACAGGCAGCTAATATTAAGGCGTAATAAACTCACACATCATCAATGATAATAATCCAAACAATTAGTGATGGTGAGATGAAGCCTCATGAGGCATTAAACCGTTTGGCCAAATTGCTTCAACGATCCCCACAGTTCATGAGGCTTCATGTGAACATGTCACCACCTACTGGTGGACAGCAGAACTACAGTTTGTAAGAAAATCAGTGATTGCCCCCTAAATTAGGTTGGCTAAACCAACCTAATTTACCCAATCTATATTTTTACTCGGGCAAAAAAATGCAAATTAGTCTCATCAGCCAAAATAATTAAGTTTAATCGCAACTTTCAAAAGTCAAAGACAGGTCTTGAACCATCAACCTCTAGAGTGAGAGCCTGTCTCTTACAGATGATGCCACCTATATAGATAACTATATCAGGGAGGAAAATACTACTCAATAGTGACGTGTTAACACTGACTCTGTCCAGTGGCCTGCTCAGATTCTGATCATTACACTGTTTATTTTAACCAAATGAGTTTTAACCAACTAGATTGGTTGGAAAAACAACCAATCTATTCTTAGAATCTATCCAAACTCTATCCAGCTGACAGCAGCTCTCCTCCAATCTCCCACATCTTGACTGAACGCTGAGGCTGTTTAGATGCCCGTCAAAATTCTTGCGCTTCCTGAACCACTTTGCGAAGCGGTCACGTGGTATCACGGTAGCAAGGCCTCGAACGTCATCAATTTTGGCCCCTCCCCTAAATGAATCACGCCTCGACACGCCTTCGGGGAAACGCCCCCTCCATTACTCGACACACGCCTCGAAGCCTCGGCTCTCCTCATAACATCACTACTAACAATTCTATTCTAAAATATGAATCCAGGATTATTCATATTCATCCTTCCAGTGTCATGGTTTGAATGTGGGTAGTGCACGATTAGTCTGCTTCAACGTTTGCTAACTCATCCTGCTCCTCTCCTCTTCTTTTTTCCAGCTGTTCACAATGTTCCACGTTGGTTTCCTTAACAGTCCTCCAGGTTTCTGCAGTCAGAGCTGGAGAGTTTGAGGAGCTCAGAGAAGGAACTTGAGGCTCTTCAAAATGAGGTGGATGAAGACACCACTGAGATTATCCCATCAGCTGTGTGAGTGAAAAGCCAGAAAGCTTCAGAAAAATCCACATTCTAATTCTTTTTAAAAGTATTCATATATCTCTAACATATTTCTAAAATCTTTGGTTACGTTGCGACAAATCGTATTTTAATGAGTTTTTATGTGAAGAACTGATTAAAAAGTAGCACATACAGTGAGGGAAATAAGTATTTAAATTGAAATGCAAATTCTCTCATTCAATCATGGAGGGAACGGAAATTGTCATCTTAGCTGCATGTCCATTATGAGAGACATAATCTAAAAAAAAAATATCCAGAAATCATAACTTTTTTTTTTAAACTATTTATTTGTATGATGTAGCTGCAAATAAGTACCGTATTTTCACGACTATAAGGCGCATTTAAACGTCTCCTCATTGAGGAGATGATGAAAGCGTGGCTGAGGGAGGCTTATGTAAGGAGACCAGGTGGTTTTTTCCACGCATCACCATTGCTGTTAATCTGTGACTCCATGCGTGCCCATCTCACAGCCGATGTGAAAAACATGGTGGAACAAATGAACGCTGTGCTTGCTGTTATTCCGGGAGGTCTGACAAAGGAACTTCAACCGCTCGACATCGATGTGAACCGGCCGTTCAAAGTAATGCTACGTTCACACCTGACGCAGCAAGAGCAGCGAAATCGCATCTGCTGCTTCATTTTTGCTGCTTGTACCAGTTAGTTCTGGTACGCTCTGTGTCATCAGCGATGTGTCTGTCTCTCGGCCAGCTCCCAGGTTGGATTAATACTTTGTAATAAATACATGAATAAAGCACAAACATACTCAGTTTTGCTCCCGCTCTATTTTTAAATACGCAGTAGAGGTATTTAAACGTAGTAGAGGACATGTATCGGTATATAAAAACCGCGCCCTATAATCTGGTGCGCCTTATGTGTGTGTTAAATACAGTTATGGCACACATAACTGAGACTGCGCCTTTTAGTACGGTGCGCCTTATGGTCGTGAAAATACGGTATTCAAACACCTGAGAAAATCATTGTTTATTTTGGTACAGTAGCCTTTGATTGCAATTCCAGAGGTCAAATGTTTCCTGCAGTTTTTCACCAGGTTTGCACACACTGCAGGAGGGATTTTGGCCCACTCCTCCACACAGATCTTCTCTAGATCCGTCAGGTTTCTGGGCTGTTGCTGAGAAACAGAGTTTGAGCTCATTCAAAGATTCTCCATTAGGTTTAGGTCCGGAGACTGGCTAGGCCATGCCAGAACCCTGATATGCTTCTTCCAGAGCCCAGAGATGGGGGATCTGGAGTCATCATGTCATCTCTATGTCGTGTATTTGTTCTCACCAGGTGAGTCTAATCTGCACAGGTTAAACCAGATTGGACTCACCTGGTTCAGTGGCTGGGTAGAACAAACACATGACAAAGAGATGACTTGTTGAATCCAGATCGCCCATCTCTCCCAGATCCACTCCTTGGTTATCCTGGCTCTGTGCTTTGGTTGATTGTCATGTTGGAAGACCCAGCCTCCACCCATCTTCAATGCTCTGACTGAGGGAAGGAGGTTGTTCCTCAAAATCTCTCAATACATGGCCCCAGTCATCCTTTCCTTAATGCAGTGCAGTCGCCCTGTCCCATGTGCAGAAAAACATCCCCAAAGCATGATGCTACCTCCCCCATGCTTCACAGTAGGGATGGTGTTCTAGGGATGGTACTCATCACTCTTCTTCCTCCAAACACGGTTAGTGAAATTATGACCAAAAAGTTTGATTTTGGTCTCATCTGACCACATGACTTTCTCCCATGACTCCTCTGGATCATCCAAACGGTCATTGGCAAACTTAAGGTGGGCCTTTACATGTGCTGGTTTAAGCAGGGGTACCTGCAGTGCCATGATTGATTTCAAACCATGATGTCTTAGTGTATTACTAACAGTAACCTTGGAAACGGTGGTCCCAGCTCTTTCAAATCATTGACCAGCCCCCCCCATGTAGTTCTGAGCTGATTTCTTACCTTTCTTAGGATCATTGAGACATTGATACCCACTTTAAAATGAAACAAACATGGTTACTCATCCTGCTGATCAGCTCTCTTCACTGCCATCGAGGCTCCAACGTGTTTCCTTTTCAGGTGCTGCGTCATAATAGTGGTGCTTCCGTGCCATGTTCATTTGTTTTTACAAAAGTTGCATGTTACGACTTTTTTCACTTTACAAAACGCAGGCTATTTTAATTATTGTGATCAATTTGCGCCGTCAATCCCGGCGCATGCGCGCTTCATTTGCAGTCTGGACGCTGGGGGTAAACTCCTCACTAAAATCTTGCGGCTCTGACTGCAGCGCTGAGAGGGATTCCTGTGGGAGAGGGAGAAAGGCGTTGGGATGGGGGAGGCGCCCCACGGCAGGCAAAAGCCGCCAGTGACACCGTAAAAAGTCGCCAGATTTGTCCCTAGTCGCTTTTTTGAAAAAATAGTCGCTGGAGGGGTCTGAAAAGTCGCTGAGTTGGCAACACTGCAACTGCGGCGCTGACTCGCTCCGCCATATTTTTTTTTCTTCCCGTGGATGACGGGGGATAGATTTTATCGATTCGTCGTTGCAGCCCTAGGGGAAACGTAACGTTAGTTTCTCAGGTAGCTCATCTGATGCTTTCCTTACCTTGTTAGTAGGTTACAGACAGGGATAAGGTTGGCTACTTATTTTACTTTTAATTTCATTTGAATTAGCATAAGGGAAATCGGGGGACCTATTGTTTGAACCCCTTAGGGGCTTTTAAAAACAAAAATGCCTTTTTTTGCACTTAATGAAACAAAGTAGCCTATATTTTGTGGATGTACAGCTACATTTCTCATGTAAGTTTGCGTAGTTTTAACACAAACATTTATTTTTCATATTGCACCAGTACAGTTAATGAGCAACCTGTACTTGTGTGCTTGTTTGTTGTGTCTAAAATGTTTATTTTGGAATAAATAGGTCAATATAAATAATATTTTTTGTCCGATTCATCAATTAATCGAAAAAATAATCGGCCGATTCATCGATTTTTAAAATAATCGTTAGTTGCAGCCCTACTCACTATAAATCAGCAGTGGGAGGACAATGTGACATTTTTCCTCTTGCTAAGAAGTTTAGTAAACATGGTTTCTCTTGCAGAAGCAGTCTGTGTCTGGTTTTATATTAGGAAGCACGAAAGGTGAAGCAGTTAAAAAACACAGCAGCCATGTTTGACTGAACTTTGGGTTTTCAGATTTTAAATTCAGTATTTTCAGTTTTATATTTGAACAGCAAATGTTTCCTTTTCAGATACGTGGCTCAGCTGTATCACCTAATAACCAAGATCAAGTGGGAATATGACACCCCGCCCAACATTTTGAAAGGAGGTAAGAAGCTTTGAACAGACTCAGTTATGACCGGATCTTCTTCAGAACTTAAAAACAATTCCTAAAGATATCGAAGCTGATTAAAAAGAAGTAAATATTTGTTTCTGTTATGACAAGCTTTTTAATTCAAGTTTCCATTTCTTAGTGAATGCGACCACAAATATCTCTTCAGTTTTCACAAAAGCAAACCTGTGTGGTCAGGAGTCTAACACACATCCTCTTTTCTAGCTAAGAATAATAATAATAATAATAATAATAATACATTTTATTTAACAGCGCCTTTCTTGACACTTAAGGTCACTTTACAGAAAATACAAAAGATAAATAAAAAGAAAGATGAAAATACAAAATACAGATACAGGAAGATAAAAGCAATTATGGATAGGGAAAAGATCAGTGTATTCACAGATAAGCGAGCGGCTAAAGGCTCTGCTCCCCCAGACAACAATGCAGACAGGCTGAACGTCCGTGGAAAAAGGATAAACTGCATGTATCCCTGGGCTGGTTAAGGGACCGCTTGGCTGCTTACCAGAGAGCTCTAAAGGAAGCCAAGTCCAAATATTGGTCCTCCATAATAGATAATAGCTCTCATAATCCAAGACTGCTATTTAATACTATTGATTCTGTCATTAATCCATGCCCTGCTGTCCTGTCTGATGCCTCCACTGCAACCTGTGAGGAGTTTGCGTCCTTTTTCACCGATAAAGTGGAATCTGTCAGGCAGAATATCTGTAATAGTAATATGCCTTCTGATGATGTCTGTGCTCCTCCGGCACAGACTGCTATATTCGACCGGTTTGAGACCATTTCTTTGCTTTCTTTTACTAAGGTGGTTAGTGGCATGAAACCCACAAACTGTCCCTTAGATATTGTTCCAGCCAAGTTTTTGAAGGAGGTTCTGAGCTCTGTTGGGCCAAGTCTGCGTGTTTTTATAAACACTTGTCTTAGCTCAGGGTCTGTTCCAGCTGCCTTCAAACATGCTATGGTTAGGCCCCTCATAAAAAAAACGCATCTTGACCCCTCTGTACTCTCCAATTTTAGACCTGTCTCCCACTTGCCTTTTCTTTCTAAGGTTTTAGAAAAAGTTGTTTTTATTCAATTACAGACATTTCTGGAGATCAATTCTGTGTTTGAGAAATTTCAGTCTGGTTTTAGACCCCGACATAGCAGCGAGTCAGCACTGTTAAAGGTGCACAATGATATTGCCCTGTCTGTGGACGCTGGAAATCCTGGAAATACTGCTGGGCCTCTCAGCAGCCTTTGATACAGTCGACCATGCAGTCCTTGTATCTCGCCTAGATACAAGGAGCAGCGGCTGCAAAACGCGCCAGCGTCCACTCAGCGTATGCCAGTATTTTTCATACGTCAGGCATACGCTGGCTAAATGGTCAAGGTGTGACAGGGAATTTAGGAACATAATAGTGGACCAACAGGCGTGGCGCCATCTGCTGGCAGTTTTGCAGAACTACCAGAAAAGCCAGATTGCAATTTCTGCTTTTGTTGATGGAAAAGATTGAATTTGAATTCTACACATTATCCACAGTATCACTTCCTTGTTTTTCCTCTGCACCCATGCGCAGAATTTTACCTCTATTCATTGTAAAAAATGCACAGAAGAGTATTATTTACTACAAAGTAAACAACTAAAAAAACAAATGATATGCCAACAGGTCAAAGTAATCTTTTAAGAAAAACTTTTTCTGCAACATGGAGTTAGCTACTGGTTTATAAATAAAAAAAAAAAAATGCATAATGTGAATATGCTACATTGAGTAAAATGCAAAAATCTAACAAAATTATAATCATGTAAATCATAAACATGAAGCTTTTTAAAACATCTGAAAAAAAATTTTTCTGCAGAGGTTCTTTGGCGATGAATACTACGATGAAGAGGAGGAGGACAAGCCTCAGTTCGATGACGATGGTGTTGATGAGCTGGAAGGTGAGCTGCTGCTTTGTTTTTGAAATTTTATTTAACTGTAGTCAATCTGCTGCTTCGTCTGTATTTTTGAAGCACTTTTGCATTTTCAGAGCCCTGGAATTGGGACACTTGGACCGGAGAAGAACAGCAGGAGGAATACGATGAAGAGGAGTACAGCGTCTCTGGACCTCACTGCGAGGGTTAGGGTTTCATTGTGAGCTAACTCTTTTTCTTTTCCTCCCAATGAGTTTTATTGAAACGCAGGAATCAGCCTTAATAATTACCTGATTTCTGCAGATGGATGCAGACTATGACCCGAACCAGCATGCTGCCTCCAAGAAGAAGAAGAAGTTGAAAAAGGATGATATGCCACAGATGGGCAAAAAGAAAAAGAAGTCTCACTTTGCGGAGGTCATCACTAAAGCTAAGCCTGTGTTTGATCCCGGTAGGTATCACCAGCCATCCTGAACCCGACTGGTCCTCAGGCGGTTCCGTCTCCTGACTAGAAGCTGTTCTTGTCGTTTCAGAGGAGAGAACTTTTGAGCAATACTTGGATGAATACTACAAGCTGGACTATGAGGACATCATCGACGACCTTCCATGCAGGTTTCGCTACAGGCAGGTTGCCCCCAACGATTTCGGCTTGACAACCGACGAGGTGAGATACGGAGCAGAGCCCGGTTCCTTCAGTCCAGAACTTGTCAGCTGGTTTATCTGCTACCAAAGAAAGCCAAGGATTTGGACTAAATGTTAGATGTACTGTAGTAACTAAATGGAGCAAAAATATAGACAGATTCATAGTGATGAGATGCTATGTCTTGAATTGTTTATTTACATTTTTTAGGTGTATCCCTGCTTCAACAAAACCTTAATTTACAAACATTAATGCCTCTTTCCCACCGGCTCCTCTTAGCTCGGCTTTATTCCAAACGTTTCCATTATTGCTTTACTGTATTGCGTTCAAATATGTCATCTTGGACTCTAGTGCACTTTGAAACGTGTGCAAGCTTGTCTGACGCACTTTGTTGATCTCTATGGGCAGCAAGGGAGCATCTTAGCTTTATTTTGTGGGATGATTGAGGGGAAAAAACAAGTTATTTAAAGATGTATTTCAGAGGAACCTCAAAGCATCAACCGTTAGGGATGGGTTTTATTAAGGATGTATCAATTCCACTACTCTAATACGTAAGGCCGTCCTACGTGCTCGTTCCAATTTTCACTTACCGGTGGTGAGTCTGACATAGTGGAAAAAATGCAAATCTTCTTTTTGAAAGTATACCTGTATGAGTGAAGCAAACAGCACATTTAATAGGCGTTACCTCTTTGGAGCCGGTACAGGGTTATACATAGGGGTGTAAATCACACCCATCATGGCGATTCGATTCAGTATCGATTTCCTGACCCAACGATTCGATTATTTTCTATACTCAAGAATACACCACGATACGATTCGATTAATTGGTTGATTTTTTTTATTTCTTTTTTTTACACCTAACAGGCGAGACCAGGGGTGTCAAACTGGTTCCAGAAAGGGCCGTGTGGCTGCAGGTTTTCCTTCCAACCAAGCAATAGCACACTAGACTCCAGTCATCTCATCAAGTGAGTCCAATCTGAGCATGATGACTTGATGAAATGACTGGAGTCTAGTGTGCTATTGCTTGGTTGGAAAGAAAACCTGCAGCCACACGGCCCTTTCTGGAACCAGTTTGATACCCCTGCGCTAGACGATGTTTCAAATTTGAAATCAATCAATGAAAGCTGTAATATCGTTATGCATTTTTTTGAGAAACCACAGCAAATAACAGAAGTAGAAAAGTTTTACTCCACCTATTCCTATTAAAACCTCATTCACTGAAAAATAATAATGCCCCTGCGTTATAGATTCTGAAAGGCCGTGCATCAAAAATACTGCACAAAATCAGTGCAATGAGTGCTATGCAACACCTCGGCTCCAGATGTCCCCGCCCCCTCCACAGACGCTCCGCTGCTCCTCTCCCAAATTGTAGCTGACCGCAGACAGACGGCTTGTTTTGTTTTTATGACCGAAATTGCAGAAAACAACTCGTGAAGTTTGACCCGCTAGAAGAGCGAGGTGCGCGAGAACGATGGGACCCTTTTTCCACCTGGATCTCCGCTCTTTTTGGCCCTCATGTCCCTCCGTCGTCGGACTAAACTCGCCCCCACTTCCTCACCGCCTCGGCCGTATCTAGACCCATAGCGTGTAGCGCAGACCACGCTTCAATATTGAGCATAAATCAAAAATGTCTGTGTCAAGCTCACTGCGACACACTGCTGTAAGAGTATAACGAGGAAGCGAGGTAGGAGGGCAAAATAGGTTTAGCGCCACCGCAGCACGGGAGGGAGAATTACGTCCAGGAGGAAATGAATAAAAATAGACCGGAGGAAAAAAAAAAAACATGAATCGATACTCTTGCGGACGTGTCGATGCATCGGATCGTCGGCTGTTGGATCGATGCATCGATACAAAACGATTATTATTTACACCCCTGGTTATGCATGTGCATTTCTTTTTAAGTGGAAATCCTAGACTTTTCCCTTTCATTTTTTTTTATCAAAATGGTTGAAAATCAATAATCACTGACTGGTTTTTAAAACATTTGAAACGGTGCATCACAAAAAAAACACAAAACGGATAAATTGCACAAAAATTTTTAAATAAATTATTATTTTATATATATATATATATATATACACACACACACACACACACACACAAACATTAGGGCTTCAACTAACGGTAATTTATTTCCCTTATGGCGCTGCCTTTATTTCTGGAAAGATAGGAGCCACTTTTTCTTTGTCAGGTTACAGTTTAAGATACAATAAAAAACACCTCAGCATAAAAAAAGCACATTTAACACGAGACAAACATTTCACCTGAAGGAAAATATTGGTGGCTGGAGCCACATTAAAGTCAGTTGAAAGACATTTGAGCATTAGTTGTGTGTGTGTTGTGCGTTCAGTTTGTCCATGAACGCTGTCTGCAGACCATTGTGCTTCATGAGATTGAAGTTTATCAACCAGCGCTACAGTTCTGGACACATCCACAGGTTTTTGTGGGTAGGGGGGGTGGAGGGGACCTTGCAGTTCGGGCCCCTTCCACCATAACATCCTGGGGAGATTTGATAAGGGGGGTGCTGAATCCTAAATAACACTTTTCGTTTTGAGAGCAGGCTGCACAGAATTTACTGTGAGCCTGTAAATTCTGGCTCCACATGGCGAATATGGAGAAATTGTCAGGCTTCTCCGCCTTGAAGCGAGCGTGCACATCCAGGATATGATCCCATCTCACCTTTGACTTCAACCACCGCAGTCAGCCTGCATTCAATCGCACCCAGCATACGGCTCACAGCCTTTGTAAGCTCGTCAACCGCACCAGCAGCCTGATCGATGCCCAAATCGCCACAACATCCTATGTAATAGTAGATTCATCAGGTATCCTTATCAGTTATTGCTTTGAAACTGTCTGATTGAACCTTGCATGGTTTAAGTGCATCATTAAAAGCTAAATATGATTTTGATGGTATGTGAGGTGTTGATGTGCAGCTTTAATGGATGGAGCTCAGTGGTTTTTACTCTGCAGTGATGAGATGTGTTCCTTCTGATCTGGTATTGCCTTCCTCCGGGGAGATCTCTGACCAGGGAATGATCCCACTCCAATCTTCTCTCTGAGCAGACCATATTCCAGTGAGATGAAGCTGCTACCTAAAGCAGTTTGCTTTATTATGTGGACTTGTTTTAATTCAGAGAAATAACCTTTTTTTTTCTTCTTTCACCTCAGATCTTGAAAGCTAACGACCAGGAGCTGAACCGCTGGTGCTCTCTGAGGAAGACCTGCATGTTCAGGTACTGACTCTGGGCTGATTAAGATGTTTGAACAGTTCAGATTATTTAGTAACGTCCGTCTTTGCTTCCTAAGGTCTGAGAAGGAGGAGCTGTGTGATCTGAAGAATTATAAAGTGAAGGCACAGAATGTGAGGAAGAAGAAGGAAGTCCTGAGCTCTGTGTATTCTGAGTGAGTAGACCTTTAAGCAGCTGGACTCCATCTCTACCGTGGTTAGAAGGTGAAGGTGTTGATCTCTTCCTGATCTGCAGGGAGGACAAAGAAACAACTGAGGCTAAGACCAAGCTGGGAAAGAAACGGCGAGACCGTCTGAAGAACGCCGATAAGCAGATCACAGGAGCGGAAGAAGCGAGCATGGATTCTGCAGAGGAGACGATTCAAGCTCTCAGCGAGGCTTTGGAAAACACTGAGGAAGGAGAGGAGATCCTGGTACCCAAGAAGAAGAAGAAGAAGCTAGAAGAGCAAACCAAGGATACAGCGGAGCAGACAGCAGAGAAACGAAAAGAAGGCAAGAACAGGACTGCATGGTCCAAGAAGAAGCCCAGGAGGTTAGGTGGACGCCTCCAACCAGGAACCAAGAGGGTGAAAATAGGTGGCCGGGAGTTCAGCAGACAGAGACTGAAGGCCTACGGGCTGAACCCCAAAAGGCTGTACTTCAGACAGCTCGGCAGACAGAAGCGGAAAGAGCAGGAGAAGAAGCTGAAGCAGAAGAACAAGGAGGGATGAGAGCTTCCATTGAGCTGCTGTCTGACCTTATTGGACCATCAGAGAACAATAAGCTAAGATTTGAATATTCTTTAAAAATGTGTAGAATAAAAATGTAATTGTGCTTTAAACCAGCAATGTCCTCGTTTGCTTCTGTCAGCTGTTTGCCTCATTAAGCCAGAGCGCTGTTCCTCCTGTCACAGCCCGGTTCTACAGCTCAGTCCTGGTGCTGAGATACGAGGCTGCTGGAGTGTTTGCAGCTTTACGCAGCATCGCTGCTTGAGTAAATACTGGGAAACCAAAGTCTTTTACTTTTATCCAGGCTACAAATTAGCCAATGAGTTGTTTCAGTCTGGGTTACCAGAAAGAAGACGAGAAAAAGAGCAGAGAAAGTGGACTGGGAGAAACGCAGTGAACTAGTGAAAGAAAGATGACCCTGTATATCTTGATTATGTTTGGCTCAACCTGCTGTTGTGAAGCAGGATTCTCCACCATGAACATTATCAAAAATAAATATTGATCAAGGCTCAAAATGTGTCAGTTCAGGTGTTTTATATAGAAAGTGATTCAGGAAACTGTTTATACCAAACTGAAAGATTCAAAAACTATTTAGATTTTAAAATGGAAAAACTTTTTAGTTTTTATAAAATTCAGTGTATAAGAAGGATGCATAAACACCTGCATTTTATTTCAGTGTTAAATGCTGTTTAAATTAATGGATTATAATCATAAATCTCTCCTGACCTTTACTGGTTGATGATGGTCTTTATTTGGACCCGGACGATTTTTAATTGGTTTCTCCTGTTCTAAACCAACATGTTGGGAAAGTCCATCTGTACCAACTACAGGAGAACTAGAGAGTCTGCCTTCTCTGTCAGAGCCCCCAGCACCTGTTCATGCTGGGTATTGCTTGGGGGGCATTTCAGGCCAGTGGTTCATGAGGGTGCCATTTATTTCAGCCATTTATATTAGCTATAAACTAACTCGAACTATAGTTAGAGTGGCTCTGGTTACTCTGAGCTATTTCTATAGTTATGCTGTTATAGGCTTAGACTGCTGGAGGACATAGGGGACCCATTTTCATCATTCTTCTTCATTCTATCTCTATTCTCCCACACTGTAGAATTTGTTATTTCAATCTCTGATGCTATGCTTTCTCTGCTTTTTCTCATGGTAGCTTCATCTGGTCTGTTCCTGTTTGGCTGTGACACCATCCTGGAGAGAAATATCAGCTGTACTGCCATCGAAACCTTTGTTTATAGATGTTCGAGATCAGCCTGTTTTTCAATGTAGTCCTGTTTGACTGGCTGGATGTACTCTCTTCATCCTCTGACATGGGAGGTGGCTTGGTGCTTGTCTGCCTGACTGTGTGTTTCCTGGACGGGGCCCCCTGTGGAGATGGTTGACTGTTGCCTTTGTATCTCTGCTTCTTTTTATATGCCTGCTTCAGTCTCCTTGAACCCCAGTCGGCCTCGGCAGATGGCCGCTCACACTGAGCCTGGTTCTGCTGGAGGTTTCTTCCTGTTTTTCCTCTCCACTGTCGCTACAAGCATGATAAACTTGAGGGATTGCATTCGAGTCATTGACTCAATTCAATCAACTGGTTTTCCTTAGATAGAAAACTTTTAATCAATTTGAATGTAAGATGTGGTAGAACTGTAAAGTGCCTTGAGATGACGTGTTGTGAATTGGCGCTATATAAATAAACTGAATTGAATATTAGATATATTCTGTGGAAATGTCAAATGTAAGTATTGGTACATAAGGCTAAATTAACAGAACACCTTTCCTCCTCATTAATTTATTGTCCTTTTGTTTTTGATTTTTTCTGTTTGTGTGTCTTTCTTTATATCAATTCTTGTATGTTTTTAATTAGTTTGCTTTTTGTTTATGATCTATGAAAAATTAAAAAACAAAGTTGTACGCAGCTGGTGTGTTCTTGCCTTAATATGTATAGATGTCTTATTGGACGCTGCAGGCAGCGAGGCCGACATGCCTATAGGGCGGTCATCTTGGATCAGACCACAGTTCAGGCAGCTGCTGTCAGAATGAATAGGAGGCGCCTCAGATCTCATTTGAATCCCATAGAAGACAAATCAATATCACAATAATCTCTTACATGTGACAACCCCTTAAAAGAACAAAACAAACATATTTACTCAGACTAAAACAATTTAAACTGAGCTCAAGCTTATAGATATACGCAAAGTTATATATTTTGCAATTATTTATTAATATGATTAACACAAAGTTTTATATGAATATACTGTAATATATTATACAAATACTTTATATAGTATATAATTATTATTCAGCATGTTTAAGGATTACTCTTTAATAATCTATAGAGGAAACATTTGTTTTGGGGATTTACAATAGAGTAAAGTTATTATGTAGTATTGTTATTAACTTAAAAATAATTTTTTATATTTTTTGTCATTGTCAAGACTTCTTAGGTAATGGTCAAAATATTTGTATTTATGCAAATGTGAACATTTGTTCTTTAACCAGTTATTTGTGGTATATATATATATATATATATATATATATATATATATATATATATATATATATATATATATATATATATATATATATATATATATAATTAGCCTTAGTTGTCTGAAAGCAGCTTGATTTGACCAAATATGGTCATTCAGCTGCCTCTCACCAATAATGACGCAGGTTCTATGTCTGTGGCCCAAGGCGCCATTTTGAAAGAAAATTATAATATGAATTTCTAATTGAAATGCTGCTCAAAACCTTGTTTAACCAGTAGAAATGTAATAAAGGTTTTATTATCTACGAAATGAGAATGAAAACGGCCGGTTTAATCTATTTTTGAAGCCTTAATGAGGAGTTTATTTCTCAAATATGAAATGCGCCATTAACCCCTTGAGTGGCAGTTAGAGTCCACAATTCTGTTTTGGTTGAAATCGGTAAAAATCGTTGGTCGTCACAACAAAGCCGTTCAGTGTATATAACATTCCCGCGTTTGGACGAAGGTAAGAGAAGTCAGTAACATTTGGGAAGGGTAAAAATGTCAGCAATTTTTAAATACCAAAGTTTCTGCTGTTCAAAATACAATTTCCTAATGATAATGGAGGACGGGGGGTGTTTACCAGTCAGCTGAAAGTTAATTTGTGTTTTTCTTTCTGTATTTTTGCAGTTTTGCCTGAGATTGAACCTTGGCCTAACTTCAAATAACTCGTATCGTTGGAATTTCCAATAATATCAATAGTAAGTTCATTTTTGAAGTATGTAAATTGAAATTAATCCAATGAAGTTGTTGTGGGTTATGGCTAGTTATCGGTAGCTAGCTAACAGCTGGTATAATACTGTAGTTGTGGGGCATAAAGCCTCATAGAATGTTCTAGAATCTGCAAATAAAGATTGTATACCTGTATAAATATGTTTGTGTAGAAAATATAAAAATGTATGAGCGGCTGTGCTTTGCAACATGCATACATCTTATCAGAATTTTCTATTACTCTTAACCCCACTAAAAATATTTGAATAAACTGAACCATTTGTTTTGTTTTTTTAGCAAATAAACATAACCGAGAAAATTAATTCACTATTCAGCGAGTTAAAGTTGATTAAAATTGATTCTGCATCTGCTCAACACATTACGCTGAGCAGAGCGGTGCCTATCGGTCTCCGCCAGTCACGTGACATTTGTTGCTAAGACGCCATTTTTGGTGGAAAAGGTGTAGTGTAAACAACCGCAGCATAGCTACACTGGTGAGGAATTCAAAGCATATCAGTCACTGGAAGCACACGGACAGTTCACAAATGGCTCCTTTTTTGCCTGATTTAGACAGGGGGAACAGATTAGAGCAGGTGGCCTGCTATAATTTGTTCCCCCCTTTTAACTTTAAGAAATAAAGGTCAATCAACTCCAAAGTTTCAGGGGTTAGTTGTCATCATAAAAGATGCTTATAAGCAGTGGCGGCCGGCCCATAGGGGGCGCTGGGGCACCGCCCTCCCTGATAAGAAGAGAGAAACGTAAAATATATTTTTAGAAATTAACTCATAAATGTCAGTTTTACTCTCTAGACTGTGTACCTATTAGCAAAACAAATTATATAAACTACATTTCCCTATCTACTGTCATTAATTTGTGGATTTCCACAGACAGACTCCTACCGTCTCTGTTCTGGGGGCGCTGATCAGACTGACCCACATTTGCAGAGAATCTGTCAATCATGTACTATTGCTAGGTGAATTTAATGGCCAATCAGCGTCTCGGAACTTTATGGTATTGGGGCGCTGAAAATACTGCGCTTTAACAGGCTTCTGAACCCAAGCGCAGGTGCAGACAGTTAGAGGGAAGATGGCGAATGTAACGAACGAGATGCAGCTTCCACCAAATTCGGTGAGATCCTTATTTATCTACCCGTTTGCCAGAAGAACATCCCTGTTGTAGGATATGAACATTTCATGTCATGGTTATTGTGACTGTGACAAATCCACCTCGTCGCTTAAAACAACCTCTCTAACTTTGCGCGCCACACACACATTCCTGTTATACTGTGTTTGTGAGGACCAATACACTCGCGCTGAGCCCAGTAGCTCCATGAACTTAAAACACACAAGCTGTTCCTGGTTACCTGCTGGCATATTGAGGGTGCACACTTAATATTTCAGTGGGGTTAGCCGTGTGTGTGTGTGGGGGGGGGGGGTCGTGTACGTGTTTATGCTACGGGGACTTGTCATCTTCAGTCTGGCTGCGTCTTTGCTGGGTTCAAACCCACTTTGGTGTAATTGAATAAGTCAATGAATCTGTGTAAAAGAATTAAGTTGTAAAAATGATTTGTTTTTGTACATCAATTGTTTGTGGAGGTAATATATGGACAAAACTGATTAATGAGAAGAAATCAGAAATAAGAGAGCCTGATGTGAGGGGCTTAAACTATTTAATGAGGGCTGTGGGAAGAAAAGCGGCAATTTTTGTTTTCTGTTTCTTTGTTACATTGCTGGTAACTGGAGGGAGGCTGAGGCCCAGAGTATCTTGTACATGTTTAGTTTCTTTTGCACCCTGTTTTGAGTTTTTGAGCTCAATAAATCACCAACACCGGTAATCCGACTGAGACTGGATTCTTGGAGGCCAAAGAACCCCGTCACAGTGACCCAAATCATCACTGTTACTGTTATTATATAGTAAATTAAATCATTACTGTTAAATTGTATGTATTGTCCAATTGTTTATTTGAATTCTTATTCCGGATTAGTTGGAGACATACACTAGGCTATATCAGCCCCACCAAAAATATTTTTCACCAGCCGCCACTGCTTATAAGCCAAAAATGAAAAAGCTGGGGCCTTTTTTTGTCTGATTTAGACAGGGGGGACAGATTACAGCAGGTTTTATTTCATCCCATACTGCCAGTTCTGACAATATGGGATGAAATAAAACTGCTGATGTTAGAAGACAAACTGTTTATTAAGGATAGTACAACATAGATAAATTGTAAGTTACTATAAACACAAATATAGATTTAAGTACTAAATTTCAACCAGGAAAATTTTTTTTTCCTTCTGCATATAGTCTTTAATGATTACACGTGCACTCTATTTTCTATTTCATTTTTATTACAAGTATATGGTTTACAACAGTTTTCAATGGGATGAGAACATTTGGACACTGTGAAACAATGAGAGATTTTTTTAATGAACGTGTGGAAAAGAACAAGGATCTGTTTGCTTTCAGAGGAAGGAGTAGACACTGCTGTCAGCGACCAGCTTTCAAGCAAACGTTTGTGTTTTATTATTAGTTTTAGATCAATATCACTGGCGATATTCTGCTATAATATGTGAAGTAAAGAATAAAACAGTAAAGCTCAACTTTCATACACGTAAAACCTTTCAAATTTCACGTTCTGCACGTTGGAATTGAAGCGGAGTTAACTCGGGTTGTTCTTCCTACTCCGTGCGCGCTCCCGACGAGGGGATACAAATTTTCGCAGGGATAACTACCTTGGCACGACACCGGGACTGGCAGCCTCTCACACAACACGATCGTGTCATTTCTGGTAAATAATTGTGCCGAAAGAACAGCCGCATGTGGGTTATCTCGACTTTCCACCTAATATGGTGGTTTTCCCACGATGCACCGCGCCCGAGGTAAAAAATTGACGCCACTTGGCAGAGACCGATAGGCCGATGGTCTTGAACAGGGGGTCCGTGACCCTTAGGGGTCCATGGAGGTACTGCATGGTCATGAAAGTTTTGGTTGATTAACCTTTTTTGTTTATATTCCCTCCTGCAATTTTTCCCCCTAATTGAAATGTCTTTAAATCCACATTAACATGAATTCAGCACACTGTAGTAAACAGATAAATGGAGGCAGAAGATGTCTTTCAGTCATCAATGCTCACAATTTAGGGACACACAGGAGCTCTTTCAAGCTGGGCACCGTTTCATTCACAACACCTGTCCCATCAACAAAGAACCAGAGTCAGAAGTACTTTAATAATCCCAGGGTGAAATTACTTTCATTACATGAGTCCTTCTGTAATAGATGGACTATAGGACCAGTTTGATTTAACACAATTTCATACAATATATATAATTAGGGGGTCCCCGCTCCATCTCCTGCTATAGGCGAAAGAACAACGGAGCATTTGGGCCAGGCTAGATTTTTTCTGTTTTTAAATACGAGAATAAAGTCGTAATATTATGATATAATATATTACAATTGCTAGTGGCGTCAGCTGTAAGACATTGACCTTCACTCCTGTGGTTGTTGGTTCGAGACCCAGGGTAGACTTTCAACAGCTGAACTGTTGTGAAAACTCTAAATCATGTCACAGAAATGCATCACACTGATAAAACCAAAACAATGCATAATTGCACTATATATATTAAATGCTCTGGACTTCCATATCAATGGGTTTTTGCACCATGTTTTTTTTCTCCCACACTGTTTACATTTGATCACTGCTGCACTTTAAGGAATTTAAATATCATGAAAGTTGTACAAAACGAAATTTTGATTTTTATGCACTCTTGTGTATACCAAATGACAATACAAGTTGTATGAGTCTAAGAAAAAAGTTGTTAATTTACAAGAATAAAGTCATGAAATTACGAGAATAAAGTTGAAAAATAACGAGAATGAACTCATTAAACTACGAGCCGTTTCAGAAAGAACATTTCGAGCTCCGACCATCACCACCAAACAGCAACCTGAGTCCATTTCCACATCCTGCCCAATTTGATGCTTCTGTGCTAAAATATTTCCTCATTTGTCAAACCAATGCCAAAGTATAACTTCACATGATGCTCGACATTCCACATTTTAGGGAAGACAGTGCTTCTAGTAAGTGTTGCTATAAAAATACAACTTTATTCTCATAATATTAGGACTTTATTCTAATATTACGACATCATTCTCGTACTGTTGTGATTTTATTCTCCTAATTGTATGACTTTATTCTCGAATTACAAAAAAAAACTCTAGCCTGGCCCTGATACTCCGTCGTAATCAGTGTTGGGCACGTTACTTTGAAAAAGCAATTAGTTATATTTAGTTAGTTACTTCTCCCAAAAAGTAACTGAGTTATGAACTGAGTTACTCCACAATAAAAGTAACTATTTTCTAGTAAAAGTAACTACTTTTGGATTTCTCGCCCCCGTAACCCTCAACACCCAGCCCCCACCTTCACGCAGTGTGTTTCAAAAGCCAGCTGAATAGAGCGAACGACAAAGACAAGAACCTGCAGAGAGTTTTGCAGTTATTGCAACTCAACGTAAATGACATCAGGGGGGAACGCTATCTGACGGGCCTATAAACCCCGGCAGATAGCGTTCCCCCTGCTTAACATGGGGGGAACGCTACCTGATGCGGTGTAAATATCATCAGGCTGCATTACCTCTACTTATGGGTGTGAAGTTTTTTAACAGGACGTTCAGATCTGTGAGTGTATGAAATTAATAACTGGGGATGTCTAATTCTGAAATTCTGTGTGTTTGTGTTGTTATAGATACTGCAACATCCATCCATCCATCCATCCATCCATCCATCCATCCATCCATCCATCCATCCATCCATCCATCCATCCATCCATCCATCCATCCATCCATCCATCCATCCATCCCGATTTCACCATATAGGCTAACATTTGATCCTTCACGCTCTCCGTAGTCCCCTTTGGCTCGAGCACAGGGCGGCTGTTATGCGCCTTTAGCGAGCATGCGCGTTTCCTGTCGCTTGCGCGGCCTTTTCTAAAGTCACAATGATGTTTTTGTTCTTAGGACTCTGAAAATGTCCAGATTTAAATAATGGAATTAAAAAGAACTCTTGGGGGAGCACGCTGCCGAACCAGCCTAGAAGTTCTGACTATTGACCTCAGTATTTTTTGGGGCCCTGCGTACGTCCCTGGGTGTGAGACATTATAAAACTTCTACTGCCTCAGTAACACGGGTACCTGCTCAGTGGAATCTGTTATTTTCATTTCACCTGGTCTCCTGCAGGACCAAGGCTGTTTTTCCCTTTGGATCATTGAACTTTTCCGACCCCTCAGCCGCAGGCCTCTATGTTGATGATGTGGAGAAATAGAACAGAATAGAATACATAGAAAATCCCTTTATTGTCCCACAATGGGGATATTGTGATGGTTACAGCAGCAAAGGTTATAGTAGAAGCCGTCACCTTAGAAAAGTGTAAAAAGATAACAGATAGGAAAATAAAACAAATAGAGTATTGAAGTGTTTTACAATATAATACTCTGTATCTGGAGAATAAAAAATCAATAACAGCTCTGGACATGTTTACGGTAGTGGATGTGAGAAAAATAGCAGCAACTGTGTGTGTGTTTTAGACATGGCGGAGGAATCTCTTGACTCCAAGGTGGTTTTGGAACGCATGGAGTCCCTGCTGGGAAAGGATGGAGAGCTCCGCAGTCTGGAGGAAGTTCCCCAGATGTTCAGGTGAGATGCTCCCCTCTGATGGTGCAGCCTCCGTTCCTCCTTCTGTCATCAACCCATCTACTCATTTTTGTCTTTTCTTTCTCAGCTTGATGAAAGCTTCTACCACGATGGCCAGCATGAGTGTCTGCCTCAACGTGCTGCTGCAGACACAATCTAACGATATTCTCCAAAGGTGGGTCTCCTACAGATACAATAAATAATGAGGTTTAGTTCAGGCCCAGGAAAAAGAAGCAGCTCTTCTAGTAGCACCAGCTGGTGGTTAAAACAAGCTTCCCCTTCATCCAGGTTCATCAAAGTGGGAGGCTTCCAGCTGCTCTCCTCCTGGCTCACCCACTCTGAAAGCACCAACAACACCCCGCTGCTGCAGCTCATCCTGCTCACGCTGCAGAAGCTGCCTCTCAAAGTGAAGCACCTCACACAGGTAGCGCCTTCAGATTCTCTATCCGGGTTTTAGGGTTTTAGTCACTTTTGGCAACCTTCACCCACTCTGATGTTTTTCCCCAGAACAACGCAGCCAAGTTCGTGAAGCAGCTGAGTAAAAGTGGAGAAACTGAAGGTGAGTTTGAGACTGAAGACAGCATGAATGTTGGTTTGAGGCGCAGCTTTAACAGTTTGTAACTCTTTGTTTTTAGATGTGAGGAAGCTGGCAGGTGCCCTGGTAGATGGCTGGCTGGCTACCATCAGCGCCCACTGCGCCTCCAAGCGGAGCAGCAGTAACTCGCCTGGTGGTACGGACCTCCATGGTTTCTCTGTTTCCAGACTGAACTTTCCGCCTTCTAAACACGGTTCCTTTCTTTAGATAAAAAGAGGAAACAAGGGCTGGAGATGGAGGATACCAACCCTACCCCTCCTAAAAAGAAGACCCCTGCACCTCAGCTGGGGGAGAAATCCATCCTAAAGTGGCCGCAGCTGAAGAGGCCGAGGTAAGGCGCTGCGTTCTGTTTGAAATCTGGTGATTTTTTCCTGTCAGGCTGCTGATTCTGGTTCTGATCGCTGTGGGTTTTCCTCTGTAGCTCCGGCCCCTCAGACGATGCACCTCCAGAGAAAAAGCACAAACCTCTAAATACTCCCTGGAGCTCCAACGAAGGCATCGAAGCCGAGATAACTCCAGCCCAACGTGAGTTTAAGCACAATTACTAGAAACGGTTTTTGGTTTGTTGGAACGGCTGTTTGATACGAGGAGTTTTTGTGTTCATCATGTCAAACCATGTCTGATGCTGTTACAGCGGAGGAGCCCAACACGCCCACAAACAACGGCAAGAAGAAAAAAAAGGTCCAGTGGGCTGAGGAGGAGCAGCTCACACAATTCTTCTATTTTGAATTGGATAGAACAGAGAGAGGTGAGGGATTTAGATGGAGATTTCAATATCATGTGGTCTTAGGAAATTGGATAGACATCCCTTAAAACCCACAGATAAAGAAAATAATCGTAGCAAATTTTTGCACTAGACTAAATTTGGTTGGCATATGGAGATACTGTAATCCATGTGAGAAAAAATACACATGGAGCAACAAAAATCTGCCTTACTGCTCTCGCATTGCTTTTTGGCTGATCACAAACGATTTAATTCAACAAGTTACAGAAGTAATAATTTGTCCTACAATAATAAATGATCACAAAACAATTCTTCTAAAATTAGATTTTCCACAGAATAAAAATAAAAAGTCTTTCAACTATTGGAAAGTTTAAATTGCTTAACGAATCAACTGGATTAAAGGTTCCTTAATTGTCCAAACAGCGTGTGGAACATCTTCTCCTCTAATCTTTTAGCAATCTATATAAATATATACAATCTTAACACAATAAATGTTCTGATGAATGCAAATGGTGGATTTTACTCTTATGAGGTCTTTATAGAAAAATATGACTTTGATACTTCTAGAGAAGAGTTTGAAAGGGTGATCAGTTCTATTTCCATCAGTATTGTCTCTTTAGCCCAAAGCATCATAACAGCTACCTCTCTACCTGTATCACTGGGTTCTCCTACTATCGCTGGTATCTCACAGATAGGAGATGTAACAATGTTTTTATCAGGAACCATTTTGTTCCAGTGTCCTGTCAGACCGACATACCCATAGTCGATACCCGTTTATCCCTTTAGTTTATCCCTGTTTATCACTTTAGTTTTGTACAAAAAATACAATTTTAACTACCTTGACAGGCGTGTATCCCTTAAGTCATGTACAAAAAACTGTTTAATTACTTACTTTTTTGTGTTTTTTGAAGCATATTATGATCTGACCTTAAATTGTTTTTTTTGTACATGACTAAAGGGATACAGACCCGTCAAGGTTGTTTAAAATGTATTTTTCGTACAAACCTAAAGGGATAAACTAAAGGGATATATGGGACTAACATATGCAAATGCAACTGTGACATCTTGCTGTTGTGTATTGACTATGGGTATGCTGGTCTGACAGAACACAGGTCTATACCCCTATATGTAAGCACCTATAGACTCTGGTGTACAAGAAACTCTGGAACTGGATCTTTCTGCTACCTTATCGATATATAGCTCCTAACAATGTCAAAGTGGTTCTTTTCAAAATTGTGCATCTGTATTACCCTTCAAAAGCAAATATCTGTGCTTTTTTTTTTCTAATGTGAGTAACAATTGTCCATTTTGTGGATATGAAGGGGACACTATTGAGCATAAATCAACCAAAATAATGAAATTATTTAATCATTTCAATTTACTTGAAACAATTTACTTGTTTGTGTGTATGTTTATGTTTTGTTGAAATAATAATGTTTTTATATTATCTTCCTTCCTGTTATGTAATATTTACACGTAATGTTCAACTATTATTGTACTAAATTGTATGTACAAATGTTAATAAAGAAGGTTTGTTAAAATAATCAAAATAAAGAAGATATGGCGCTGGGTGGACTCGTCAGTCTGGAAGAAGAAAAACTCTCTTGTTTGTACATGCGCGGTGCGCGAGGTTCTGGTAAATCCGCTCGCAGACGCTCAAAGCTCTGCTTCCACTGCAGGATTTGCTCACGAGGGCCGACTGAATCTCAAACTATTGGAAATTTTCCCCCGACCTTATGATTCCTGATCAGGAGGTGGTTGTTAGAGGCTAATCCCCCCCCCCGTTACCCCCTGTATGCTACACGACGCAGGACGCACGATGAGCCTGAAACTCAGCCCGATCCAAAAAATTATCACAGGACTAAAGAAACCGCCCAAAAAAGGGCAAAAACTCTTACATTGTATGCCCGGCTTAAGCCGAGTGTTTTGTTAAGTATGTAAATCAACATTCATCCAATGAAATAGTTGTTGGATATGGCTAGCTAACGGTAGCTAGCTAACAGCTGGTATAATAGTGTAGTTGTGGGCTAGCCTAGTGAACTAGCCCCAGCCGCCAGCGGCCAAAATCATTTTTGCCTGCGAGTGGTCTAGCCTCTATCAGTGCCCCAGGCCCTAGAATTGGCTGGCCAATCACAACGCAGAGATATGTTTTGAATTTCTGGATGCAAAGCGGGCGAGGTTTTGAGGGCGTGACGACAAAGCTGCGCAACGCTGGAGAAAGCACAACAAGGAAGATGGCAACAACTGTTAAACAGCAGCATGCAGACGAGAATATTATACTTTAAAGCAGTGGTCTCCAACCCTGGTCCTCAAGATCTACTGTCCTACAGATTTTAGATGCATCCCTGCTTCAACGCAGCTGAATCAAATGATTGATTACCTTTTCAAGCCATTCATTTGATTATCCCATTCTTCCTTGCAGATCCTCTCCAGTTCTGTCAGGTTGGATGGTGAAAGAATATTCTGATAGAATGTATGCATGTTGCAAAGCACAACCACCCATACATTTTTATTACTATTTACACAAACAAATTTATAGAGGTACCCACACACACTGTGGGTACGGAAGGTATTGAGACCCCTCTTTGTTAGCCATTTGCTGAAATCAATAAAGTTATTTTTATTTCTCCTTAATGTACACTCAGCACCCCATCTTGAAAGAAAAATACAGAAATGATCCCATTCTTCCTTGCAGATCCTCTCCAGTTCTGTCAGGTTGGATGGTGAGGGTTGGTGGACAGCCATTTTCTGGTCTCTCCAGAGATGCTCAGTTGGCTTTAGGTCAGGGCTCTTGCTGGGCCAGTCAAGAATGGTCACAGAGTTGTTCCCAGTCGACTCCTGTGTTATTTTAGCTGTGTGCTTGGGGTCATTGTTTTGTTAAAAGGTGAACCTTTGGCCCAGTCTGAGGTCCTGAGCTCTCTGGAAGAGGTTTTCTTCCAGGATTTCTCTGTACTCCGCCGCATTATCTTTCCTTCAGTAGCAACCAGTCGTCCTGTCCCTGCAGCAAACACTCCCATACCATGATGCTGCCACCACTATGCTTCACTGTTGCGATTGTATTGGGCATGTGATGAGCAGTGCCTATTTTTCTCCACACATATCGCTTAGAATTAAGGATCAGAAGAAATGGACAGCCTGTGAGTTAAATATGAATGTCACAGCAAAGGCTCTGAAAACTTATTACCATTTATGTGTGTTTCTGTGAAGATGGGGTGCGGAGTTTACATTAATAAGAAATAGAATGAACTTTTTAGATTTCAGCAAATGAAACAAAGAGTGAAAAAATTAAAAGCCTCTGAATACTTTCCAAACCCACTGTATATACATCCCTCTCCACCCCCCCACACATATATATGTATGTGTGTATATCTATGTATATAGATCTCTATCTCTAGATATATAGATAATATACTGTAAAAATGTCCACAGCTGTATATTGATTATCTATTCTTCAGATGCACTGCATTTTTTTTGTAAACACACTGTACAGTACAGTATTTCATTTGTTTATTTTTATAACTTTTTTAAGTCTGTAACTTATTCTTTTATTTTTATACACATTTTAAGGCCCTCATTTGTGTGACCACTTTTGCTATAATCTTTTGCTGCTATAGCACCACAATTTCCCAATTTTGGGACAATAGAGGGATATATATGGTAAAGATAGGCTCTGTGTATGCACCTTGATGCTCTATCTCTCCGGCTCTTTTCCCTGAAAAGAGATCACTCAAGACAAGCTCTTTAAATAACACTTCATAACGTATACAGTGGGGCAAAAAAGTATTTAGTCAGCCACCAATAGTGCAAGTTCTCCCACTTAAAAAGAGGAGAGAGGCCGGTAATTTTCATCATAGATATACCTCAACTATGAGAGACAAAATGAGAAAAAAAATCCAGAAAATCACATTGTCTGATTTTTAAAGAATTTATTTGCAAAATATGGTGGAAAATAAGTATTTGGTCAGTTACAAACAAGCAAGATGTCTGGCTCTCACAGACCTGTAACTTCTTCTGTAAGAGGCTCCTCTGTCCTCCACTCGTTACCTTCATTAATGGCACCTGTTTGAACCTGTTATCAGTATAAAAGACACCTGTCCACAACCTCAAACAGTCACACTCTAAACTCCACCATGGCCAAAACTAGAGAGCTGTCAAAGGACACCCGAAACAAAATTATAGACCTGCACCAGGCTGGGAAGTCTGAATCTGCAATAGGTAAACAGCTTGGTGTGAAGAAATCAACTGTGGGATCAATTATTAGAAAATGGAAAACATACAAGACCACTGATAATCTTCCTCGATCTGGGGCTCCACACAAGATCTCACCCCGTGGGGTCAAAATGATCACAAGAACGGTGAGTAAAAATCCCAGAACCACACGGGGGGACCTAGTGAATGACCTGCAGAGAGCTGGGACCAAAGTAACAAGGGCTACCATCAGTAACACACTACGCCGCCAGGGACTCAAATCCTGCAGTGCCAGACGTGTCCCCCTGCTTAAGCCAGTACATGTCAAGGCCCGTCTCAAGTTTGCTAGAGAGCATTTGGATGATCCAGACGATGACTGGGAGAATATCATATGGTCAGATCAAACCAAAATAGAACTTTTTGGTAAAAACTCTACTCGTCGTGTTTGGAGGAGAGAGAATGCTGAGTTGCATCCAAAGAACACCATACCTACAGTGAAGCATGGGGGTGGAAACATCATGCTTTGGGGCTGTTTTTCTGCTAAGGTACCAGGACGACTGATCCGTGTGAAGGAAAGAATGAATGGGGCCATTTATCGTCAAATTTTGAGTGAAAACCTCCTTCCATTAGCAAGGGCATTGAAGATGAAACGTGGCTGGGTCTTTCAGCATGACAATGATCCCAAACACACCGCCCGGGTAACGAAGGAGCGGCTTCGTAAGAAGCATTTCAAGGTCCTGGAGTGGCCTAGCCAGTCTCCAGATCTCAACCCCATAGAAAATCTTTGGAGGGAGTTGAAAGTCCGTGTTGCCCAGCGACAGCCCCAGAACATCACTGCTCTAGAGGAGATCTGCATGGAGGAATGGGCCAAAATACCAGCAACAGTGTGTGAAAACCTTGTGAAGACTTACAGAAAACGTTTGATCTCTGTCATTGCCAACAAAGGGTAAATAACAAAGTATTGAGATGAACTTTTGTTATTGACCAAATACTTATTTTCCACCATATTTTGCAAATAAATTCTTTAAAAATCAGACAATGTGATTTTCTGGATTTTTTTTTTTCTCATTTTGTCTCTCATAGTTGAGGTATATCTATGATGAAAATTACCGGCCTCTCTCATCTTTTTAAGTGGGAGAACTTGTACTATTGGTGGCTGACTAAATACTTTTTTGCCCCACTGTATGTATTAAATAACCAGGAGACATGACAACAGATTCTGATAGAAATTGTAATCTT